ACAGAATTTTAAAAAATATAATAAAAATTTAAAAAAATATAATAAAATTTCAAACTATTAGCCAATCAGAATTTAGTATTTTGTCTCAAATTTGGCTACCTTTAAAAAAGTTGTTAATTTAAGGATGCCTGCACTGTAGTAGAATACTTTAGTATAAAGATATCTTGCTTAAAATAATTGGTAGATATATATGATCAGAGAGTTTAAATAAGTAATCTTCAAGCAGATTGCAAATATATAACTTTTAAGCAAACTACTTAAATAAGCAACCTAAAGTTGTACATGAAGCTAGATTGTATTCTCATTGTAATACCAAAATGTAAACTTATACAATCAATAATAAACATCAATAAAGCTTGGTCCTAAAGTGCACTCTAAAAATAAAAAAAACTAATCTTAACTTTATTTTTTATTTAAAAAATAATAAAGTTATATTTTTTATAATTTGATTTTTTAAATACATTATTAAGAATTTTATTTATTACAGTACTAGACAGTAAAACACATCTAATATGTATTAGTAAAAACTTTAAAGTGTTATAACTTTTTAAAACAAGCTAAATCAAAAAACCTCTTGAAAAATTGATAGATTTTTAGATAAACTACATTTTTGTTAAATGATTTTTTTATTCTTTGTTTTGAAAAATTATAAAGAATTAAAGTTTATATAAGTTCAAAAAATTGATATTTAATATAGAAAAAGAAATATATATATATATTTAACCAATCAGAATCAATTACCCAAAAATTTGCCAATCAGAATTGATTATATAAGCACCAAAAATTGGTGCTTCTATGTATAGATTGGATGTCATTTACTGTTCCGTACTGTATAATTTGTTTTAGTACATGTGTGCTAGCTTATGTTAAAATACATTTGACTTTTCACAAGTATACTTACAAATAAAAACAATCAAAATTACATCGAAAAGTGGCATCTATTTAGAGGTTGGAACCACAGGTGTAAGGGTTGTGATGAATGCAACCATCATTTACATCTATATTGTAAAACATGCAAAAAAGTAGCAGATAGCATATATAGGCAATGTAAATGTGAAAATTCTCGAATAATTAACATTAATTAAATAATAAAAATAATAATAATAAATTTATGAATATCAACGTTTATGTTTTATTTCGATTAACATATATGCATAATACATGAATCTGAATTTATTATTTTTAATCGGCCACAGAATTTATTTATAATAGTAAAAATCTTACTGTAACAACCCTATATTTCTAACTACATATTAATGGTTAAAAGACTAAATTATTTGACGGTTTTCCCTAATCTCAAATTTACCTTTTACTGTAGCTTTTATTTCAAACACTCTGCCCAATGAAGTTTGATTTGCTTGGTAATAAGTTTGCCTAAGATGGGTAATGAGATCTGCAGTAATCTGTTGATTCTCTGCAGGGGGAACATCAAAAACACAAAAAATTGAATCAGATGGATTGCTAGCGATCATTCCTCCACCAATAACGAGA